CTGATGAAATATTCCAGTAACTGTCTTACCAGTTCCTTATGCTCTTTGCTGTACTTATTCATTCTCTGAAGAAAGGCAGAGCTAGTCAGAAGGCACCATCTGGTGAGGAAGTCTGACTGGTAGGGGGCAGATTTAAATACTTAAGAGCAGCAGAAGGGAGGGTGGAATGGGCAAAGGACATTTAAAGACTGACTTGCTAGGCTATGATCATTTTTAGTTTCCCCAGGAGGTTAGTGAATTCTTCTCCCTTGGACTCCTATTGCCTGTGTTTAGAAAGGTGAATAGCAGCAGACTATAAAATATGGAAAATGAAAATTTCATTGGGATTACACATGGATGAGGAGAATCAGCATCTGCCTGCTGGAAAACATAAGACTAACGGGGGTAAGGCAAGTGGGGAATAAAAAAAGAAGAGACATGCCATGATAGTCAAATAAGATCAGAAGAAATCTACAACAGTAAAATGAATACAAATGGAAAAGGGATTTTGTGACCCTAATTGATGTTGTAACCTGTATTAAAAATTACTGAAGTCTCAGGATGCACATCCAGTATTCAAGCCAATGCCCACCCTGCAGAGCCAATGTCTGAGAGAGAAGACTGATGATTTTGCCTCACTCTGGCTCTGCAAATTGCATTTCTTGGTGAAAGATCCTTTTTAGAAGCTTATAAAGATGTTGAGTAAAGAGCTGGATGTAGAACCTAGGAACTGTTTACTTAATGCGCCCAGCTGATCACAGCTGCTGGGATAGCTCATGAAAAAAGGACTGCCAGACAAGCATAAAGCTGCTTGCCGAGATCAGAGGTGACAGTCTGAGTTGTAGATACAAAAGGCAAGTCCAAGGAGCTTTTGAATGACTTTCAGAACCTGTGGAAGCCAAAAACACTCTCTTCTCCCCTCTCTGCATTTGTCTCTGGCTCTGCATTCAGTCATGCTTATTCATTCTTTTATGATCTTTAGATTGGATTTCTACAATGCATGGTGACTGAGGAATAAACTTGAAGAGTGCATGGCAGCTTCAGTTGTTACAGCAGGAGCCTACTTACTACTGCGAAGGTATTAGCCCACACAGAAAATATACTGCATGAGCTCTGCACTGGAAGTGCTGACCCTGTGTTCACAGCAGCACAAACATTGTTTTGTCTTTGTTTCTTAAAATCATCCAAGTAATCAATAAGATTTGATTATAAAGTATACGCAATATTTAGAAACATGTCATTTTTAACACTCTTGTAAACTGCTTCATATGATTTCTCTCTTCTTTTTCTCTTTTCTTTTCTTTTTCTTTTTTTCTTTTCTTTCTTTTTCATATGAATTCCAATAAATTCAGCAATACAAAGAACATCAACAGCAAAAATTAGACTTTAGCTGAGGAGATGATAGTTTCTAGGACTTTAAAAGTCTTTGCAATGCTGAACCTACTGGTGTTACCGAGGGAATACGAACAAAGGAAGACTCAGATGGAAATATCTTATATGTTTCTCAATAACCAAGACACATACAAGATGTAGTTTGGGATGCAGGAGAAGGAATCTTTCCAGACATTCTTCCCTTGTTTTGCAAACAATCATTGCAAGGCATTTTCTTCTTTCCTTTAACAGGCAATTAACCCCTTAACCAACACTACCAAATACTTGTCATGCAAGTCCAGTTCACTCCAGATTTAATCTCTCATGCAAGATGGCTAAAAAAGCACTATACCATGATGTCTCCAAGTCACTTTTACACTGTATAAACGTGCTAGGATGCGCAATTTGAGAGTAGAACACAGAATTGCTATAAATATAAGGAAGGTCTTTACTTTCAGGTGTGACTTTCAAAAATAAAATAGTGACACAGAGGGTTCATCCTTTCAGAGAATAACAAGAAAAATATATTTAATTGTTATATTACTGAAAGAAAATTAAATAGAAAAGTAAACACTTTCCAAGCATTCATGTATATGATAAAAGTAATTCTCCTTTTGAGAACTGCATTTTCTTACATTTAAGTCTTCCAGAAGATAAATTGTTAAGGAAGTCTAGAAAACTTCATGCAGCTTGTTTTTTTTTTTACTCTAGCATGAAGAAGAAAAAGGCATTTTTTTTCCAATTTATATATTCTAAATTGTGTTATATCCAGATGCATGTTTCATTCTTATAGAGGAATAATGCCTTGTACTTATTTTACTATTTGACAGTTTGATTTTTCATTTCCCAGAAATACAATTGCCCACCTTTTTTCTAGGAAAATTATTCCACCGTGTAATAGAATTATTAACTCCTCAAAAATCTTCTGTTCAAATATCAGACTTGCCTCACTAAGGATAAGCGTCTTTATTACATTTGAAATAGTAACATTTTGTATTTAATTTCCAACTACTATATGAGTTCAGTAGATGACTTTCCCGTTAGTGTTTTTGAGAGACGTATATTGAGCATTCGTGTACATCTTCATATTCTCTAATATGAATGTTTATTTCAAAACATGTTTGTTAGCAGCAGGAATGTGACATTGCACATAGAGAGTCAGAACAATCCAGGAGAGAGCAGAAAAATCCAGGTACTACTCCTATTATTATCCCATCTGTTTTTTGACCTTAGCTAAATTACACTGAACTTGTGCTACCTCAATTTCCCTAGTTTAAAACTGAGATCAGATACTTCACTCCCTCTGTAATGAAGCTAGGAATTTCTTTATATAAAAACAGGCGATTCCTTGGTAAAATTGATTCAATGCAAATAAACTAATGCAGTGCTATGGTTGAGAATCTGAACAGAGAGCTATCAAAAAATGCAAAGGCAAACTCCCACAGCAATTATAAAATAGGTCATATTGAATATATGTGTTAATGTATTGAAGGAACACATTCTTGCTCAGGAAAAACTGCAGTGGCTTTAAACAGCCAGAAACATGTGAGTTCAAATTCAATGCAAAACTATAGCCTGAAAGTTGTATCTTCATTTAGTAAGCCTTTATAACAGATTATGCATTGTTTGCATTTTATCCAATCACTTCTTATAATCTGCTATATTGATCAACATAGTTTCTTCCCTTTTATATTGGCATTGTAGCAGCATATACAGAGAACTGCAATGACACTGCTTCATTTGACATTGTAATATTCCCCATACAGCTGCATTTATATAATTTTCAGTCCTTTAGAATGGCAATAACTCCCACAAAATCAAATTATAAGCTATTATTATCACAGAAACATCATGAAAAATAACTAGTTTGGAAGCTGGATAGCATTATATGAGCCATCAAAGCACTTCTAACACAGTTTTTTTTTAATATAGTAGACCCTAGCTAAGGTTCTCTTCTCATTCTTTCTCTTATTTGCACTGTTAAAAATGTGTCTCGTAAAAGATCCATTCTTCAGTAACTGTAAAATTAATGTAATCACAGGACCATCTACTTAAATGGTCAACAGCAGATATTTAGACAGAAAATGAGAAGCAAGGCGTAAACACTTCCAATGGAAAATACTCGGGAATCACCACTTACGACCTTTTGAGATAAAAGTTGTACCAGTACCACTATATTTAATAGTTTTCTTACTAATTTTCTAATATGCTTTAAAGCAATTTTCATAATATTTTTGGTAATGAGTCCTGCCCTAAGAAGAAAAATGTTCCCTGTTTTATATTAAAATGCAAAATCTCATTTTCTGGAATAGAAATCTGTGACTAAGAAGTGGTAGGTATCTGAAGACAGATGTTCATTCTAATAAACTGGACTTGACTTATCTTTCAATTCCAGGAAAGATGTATGCCGATATAGAAAAGCTTAGCCAAACTGTATTATATATTAACTTAATTTCTGCAATGAGTGATCCTGTACATAATCCTGGGAAAAGCATTTTGAATGCACATAATGGGCCTGAGTTATTTAAAACTAAATCATCTTGAAAAAGGAGAGATTTAAATTAAAAACTGTCTCAAAGCCACAGCATTAGCACAGTATTTTTTTATGATGTGCCTCTGTGGATTCAGTACATTTTCTCCTGAAAGGTAACTCCAAGTGAAGCATATGGCTTAGAACTAATATTAAACCCAATGATGTTCTGTGCAATCAACATCTGATGAATTTAAACTCACGATTTTCATAAAAGTCTGTGTTTTCATCATAAAGGTCCAAATCCCTACATTCTGCTTATGAGGGTTTTTTTTTGGTGGTTTGTTTTTTTTGGGGGGGGTTTCTTTGTTAGTTAGTTAGTTTGTTTCTGGTGGAATTGCCATTATATTTCATCTTGTACAATAATAAAGCAGAATCAAATAACTACCGTAGCTACTTCTGATGTGGGGATTATGATGCATATGTACAAATCATTCTTAACGGAAACTTCTAATGTGCAGGTGAGTAATAGTTACCTCTAACTTTCTGGCCACATAGATATGATTTGGAGATTAGAGACTGGTTAGTTTCTGAGGTCCCCAATCTTTGCTTGCACAACTGAGTCAACTAGCAGCAAAGCTGAATTTTGCTTCAGCGGTGGAGTAGTACTTCTACCTAAGTAAAGCAAATCCTCTGTAACAAAAGGAATACCTCAAATAGGTTCTAGAAGGGACTTCACCAGCTATCCAGCAGCACTACAGCACCCACAGTGCCTAAATATTTAGATTATCCCCTCTGAGGTGACATAACCTTTCACACAGTATCTCTTCACTGTAGAGCAGGAACTGTTCCTGTGCTGCAGTTGCTAACACTTTTGTAAACTAACAGGTCACTGGGGGCTGGGGTCTAGTTACTTGGAACAAAGCACATCTCGGGTACTGCCTGAGCATGTGACATGCTGATTACATCCGGATTCCCAACAACTTGAGCAATCTGCAGCACCACTCAGCCTAGCGACTTCTAACACTGCACACAAAGCTCCTCTGTCCTCTACAGCCCTTTTCCCAGGAACCATCTAATTAGCTCACAGACATCTAGCAGCTCTTGCATAATTCTGCTTTTAAATTAATCTCTTCAATCAAAATCAAAACAGTGGCAGGCAAGAAATCTACTCACCTACCTTTAATTCACAGAGATGATCCTCTTCTGTCAGTGAACTGACCAGATTCCTATAGCCTGGTTCCAGCAGAAATCTTCGCACCAGATTCCTATAGCCTGGTTCCAGCAGAAATCTTCCCACCAGATTCCTATAGCCTGATTCCAGCAGAAATCTTCCCAACATGAGCATGCAACTGTGCTTTGTTACCTTCACCAAAGATACTTTTGAAGGCAGATTAAGAGCATTTTGGAGAAAAAATGTTTCTTCATAATTTTGCATTGGAAAACTTCTGGTTAAGAGTTGGAAAAAGAAAAAAAGAAAAAAAAAGTTCGTTTTTGCAGATTAAAACATTCAGGCTCAAAGATTAATGTGAAAAAAAAAGAGATATAAACTTTCAGTAACAAGAAAACACTGCTACAAAGCGCTCATTTCTATTGTCTAGAGGTGGTCTCAGACATCTCCCCTAAGAAATTACATGTGACTTCTTATCATAATGTGAAGTTATAAAACTGGCATTTAACTGGAACTTTATGGAATTATGTATTCTGGACCTTTTAAAACTATATTGAAAATCTGATAAATACATTGTTCTATGGTAGCTATAGCCTTATGATTTCAGGGGACTCTAGGGGGTGTTTGTTTGCTTGTTTGTATTTTGGGGTTTTTTAAGGCTTTGAATCCCTCAGTAGTCAAAACAAATTTAGCTTCATTTTAACACTTCTGCAGTGACTACTGCAAAGCTTCTTAACTTTTATGCTATAATGCAGTCAATGTATTTATAGTTCTTGAAAATGTCACATGGCAATGTTATGCCAGGGACAGCACATCTCAGAGGGTCCTTAATATGTCTGCATTGTTGCATTCTATTTGTAGAGGCATTTTTGTCAGCAGCAATGAAGAAACAGAGCTGCCTCTGCAGTTCTTTCAATAACATTCAAGCTTATAGTTGACCCGAGGGGCTCACATTATGACATCCATATTTAATTTAACAATATATCATATTTTCATGGACTACAGTATTGCATTATAACCTCACTGCTTTATGTGCATGGGAATGCTGCAGAAGCAGGCTTGTATGAATCTACAACACAGACTAAATGGTTAGTTCATGAGAGCAAGGTCAAAGTGTACAGTGATGACAATATATAAAAGGTCTTATAACAACTCTCAGTAATCTGAGGGAAAAAAGGACAAAAATAAGGTCTCCAGAAAGGCCTGTATTTAACTAAAAGTTCATTTTTTAAAAATCCTGTTAACTGCACCACCTTGCTTACTTTCAATTTTAGTTCTGCTCTACACTTCCCATTGCAGTCAGTATTCTCTGTATCGTTTCTGCTCCATTCAAGCATATTTAAGGAGAATATTAACACCAACTGAATATTAGGCTTTAACCATCCCTTTCTCCTCACAGTAATTTCTCCTATTTGCTCTGAATTTTTTTTACTGTTGACCTTCTCGCTGACTCCAAATTAAATGTTCATATATTTTGTATTTACTCCCAAATCTAGCCCTGCTTGTTCACATTTTTCCTGCTCATCTCCCTCTTATTTGGCACTGCCTATATTACATCACATTTTCCTCATCTTCTTTACATTCCATTCCAACCGATTTCAACTCTTTCCAATGCCTCCTTCTTGCAACATAAAATTAATTTAATTCATTCTTTCCTCCCTATCAACATTATTAATAGCCTTCTACCAGACAGATTATGGATTAACTTCATTGCTTTACTCCAGAAGCCGTGTATGGCAATAGTTTATCCTCTATTTTGCATGCTCTCCTCCATATGAAACCTTATGATATTTTATCATCTCTTTTAGAAGGTTCCACTTTTCAAAACTAAGTAGTTTCAACTACCTGTTTACTGGCAGCCTTGATCTTTGGTCTAGATGTCATCCTTAACAGACATTACATAACATTAATGAAGAGCAGCCATAGTAAAAAGCATTTCACTACTCTGATCCATGTTCTTTTCTTCCCTCTGATCCAGCTTTCTGTTTGTCATCTCTTCATGCATTGTATCTAAATTAGATTTTCAGTTCCCTAGGGTAAGAAGACATCATTTTCATTTATCTGTAAAGCACCATGCATGCGTATGATTCTGCAGAGATGCTAAATATGTATATCCACATTTATTAAAATATTGATGCTTTTATCTATTCATATAGTGAAGAAGCAACATGGCAGCAGTTGCACCCATTTAAAAACTATTTTCCATCTATAATAGCTATAATGTGATGTATTTATAGTAGCTGCATGCTGTTCACTCTCTATTTTCTTGTTCACATATACATTGCACTTTCTGATCTTATTAGCTAACTGAAAAATAAAAATCTATTTTCTCTGAAGGCATCAAAATCTTTTTCTAAAAATAAAGCATAGAGGTAACATACAGTGGTTTTATTGCTTATCCATACTGCATGATCACAGTCTTAGTGGGTGAAGGATGCCGTACCACCTCAGGACTGCTCCTGCCCTCCAAAATCTTGTAATTTAAATAGTCCTAATGATAGTAAAAATTTTAGGAACTTTGGACACCAATATTCTTGCTACTTATCTTTAGAGCCATCAGTTTCTGATTTTCAGAGTACTAGAGCATAGCTCTTTCTAAATCACAAGATCTTAAAAAGGGAAGCTCTTTATTATTTTGAAAATTCTGGTTGACAAAATTAACCCAATTAGTGCAAATATGTATTCTAAAAGCTAGGAGAGTTCTTAATGCAAAAAGACAAAATAAGGATATATCAATTCAATTAAAACATATTAAAATGTCTCTAATAACAAGTGCAGTAACAGGCCGTAGATGATAGACTCTCCTTTGTAGTCAAGCATGTTTATCTTTTGGTTAGGCAAAAAAACCAAGTAGGCATGCCCAAATCCCACAGCAGAATCCACACAGGCCCCTGTTCTGACCCAGAGCTCATTGAATGAATGAGCCTGTACTAATAATTTCAAAAGTTAGCTCAAAAGATAAGAAATTATTGTAGACACTATATGCAATTAAACGGTTCTGCTTCGTGTAACACTTAGTAAATGGTTAAGCATTTAAGCATTGAATAAAGTAAACATCTTCAAATACCATGCTTTCCAGGGTATCTGAGCTGAAAACTTGAAATTGATTGCTCATTCATGGGTCAGTATCTGTGGAGCAGCCTTAACAAACTGTTTACTCAAAGTGGCAGGAGAGATGTTACATGGGGACAAAGTTATAGGCATTTTTTCAGAAAGTACCTTACAGCTGATGGACTTGATATTTATATTATTTTTGCATAGATGGATCTGTTTCAACCAATGTTCCACCATGCCTTTTACTAGATAAAATGATAAACACTGATCCAACTTAATGTCCAACTGTATGTGTAACTAAACCTATGTAAGGTTGCACTGATTAAGGTCAAGGAACATGCATATTTAAAAGCTTTGCTGGACTGAACAAATGGCAAAGGTTCATTTTAAAAGAAAAGAGGGACTTTTTACAGGGGCAGGTACAGATAGGACAAGAGGTAATGGCTTTAAACTTAAAAAGGGGAGATTTAGGTTAGATACAAGGAAGAAGTTCCTTACTGTGAGAGTGGTGATGCACTGGAACAGTCTGCCCAAGGAAACTGTAGATGCTTCATCCCTGGCAGTGTTCAAGGCCAGGTTGGATGAAGCCTTGAGCAACCTAGTCTCATGTGAGGTGTCCCTGCCCATGGCAGGGATGTTGGAACTAAATGATCGTAAGGTCCTTTCCAACCCAAACCTTTCTGTGATTCTATGATTCTATGAAATTAAGGATAAAAAATAAAATAAGCAAAAAAAAAAAAAGCATGAAGATGCAAAAATGGCCACAAAAAAATACTGAACTATAATATGACATTCATGAATGTGATTCCTTTGTACAAATATAACACGGAGACTAGCTGTTATATAAGTGAAACCGCATTTTAAAATATAGTCCACTTGATTCATAGTGAGAAGATCTACTCTTTGAATATTACCAACAGAAGGAAGGTAAGGAAGGAATTTCCAGAAGGCTGAAAATTGGGCTAACTATTTCTATCAAAACTAATGGAATAGCATGTTTCAAATGAAAAAAGAGCTTCACCAGTGCTGAACACTTTGCCCATCCTGACATAAAGGTAGAAGCTGAGCTATAACAATGTAATGACCTCATACAGGAAGAAGTTATCACAAGGAAGTAATCTTGTATGGGAGGTTGTATTCTGCTCTAAGGATATTATGAGATGCAATGGTCATGTTTGCAGGTGCACTCAACTTTGCACCCTTCATAATGAAAGGTATGAATGATAAGCACTTCTGAAGATCAGTGTAGTTGCTTTCCTCAATGAAGAACTATGGACCTACAAAACTGAGTTTAAAAATAATGTATGTATGGAGCACCTTTTCATCTGTTTCCACCCCAAGATGGGGGAGCAGAATTAATACTGCTTGCTTTCCTTTCAGCTAAACATGTGTTGGGTTTTCTTAACCACACCCCTTCACTCTGATTTAGAAGAGTTTTAGCTTCAAGAATCATTGGTTATTGCCCAATGCAAATAAGCACAAAGTAAAATTATATTAAGTTTACACAATTGATCTTTCATCATTTTAAATTATACCTTTTAAAATTTCCTGTAAAATCAGCCTGAAATACTCCCATAGTTGACTGCCATCAAGCAGTGCAGGGTCACTTTGGGAAAACCCATTCTCAGTGATATAAATTATAGGGTTATTATATGTATCCTAGAACAAGAGAGCAGAAGTTTTATTCAGAACAGATGTAAGAAAGCCCATAAAATCAGATGCATTACCCTCTATCTTTTCTAAGCTACAAACTAAAACTAGTTTTCATCAAATTGCACTGACCCTATTAACTTAATTTTCCATGAGCTGACCTTTTATGACTAACAATGGAAAAGCAGAACTGTGCAAATATCCATGAAGACAGTGAAATGACTTATTTTAATGAGAAGACTAAAATATCTTTCCTGCATTAGCATCTGCTTATTGTCACTGCTCCTTAACCCCTTGGTACTGGCAGTCACTGCATGTCCCATTGCCAGGAGTAGCTGCGTGCCAGGAAAACCTTACTGTTGGCATCAGAAAGATAATTTCTGGACTTCAAAATATGGTATAACACTGGTGTGTCATTTCAAACTGTAAAATAGCTATGAAGTACAAAGGCAATAGGAAAACACTAAAGCTTCTACTTTTTCTGTCTAGCATGGAACAATTAAATTAAGAATCCCAAGGTGACTTGGTTTTTTATATCTTGTATAATGTCTTATGCCATCCAGATGGGCTCCTCAAAAACCCCAAATCACCAATATTACACACTGGATTCCTAGATCCCTTCATTGGCTAGCTAAAGCAGTAAAATGGTCCTGTGAGCCATTCCTTCATATAACACAGACGTCAGTGCAAACCTCATGGTACAACAGGCAACCATAAACTCCCAGTTGCAACAGGCCACATTCAGATTCACCATTCGTTGAAACACTTAACTTCTTGTCTGCATTTTCTTGGTCTTAGCAGTTCAGAGTATAGAAGTCAGCAGTACTAATGATGATAATTTTTTCCTCTTTAGTGAATTCTGGAAGACTTGTTGATAAGTAACTCTGCTTTGAATGCTTTGCAGAAATATCAGACTTCACCATGGCCGGATATTCATCATCAATAAATGTTGCCCTGAAAATATTACCTAAGTTAAAGAACAAAAAGCAAAAGTCGCTTTTTGTTTGCTACAGAGGTTCTAACAATCTCAGTTCAGAGCTATAGACACAAGCCCACTTTGTTTTGTTCAAATATCTTGTTGCAACTGTGCCAGGTTTTAGCACGAGCTTTTAGCACATCATAAGCGGCCTTGTAAGCTCTGGTACCAATACTGAGGGTATTTTCACAGCCACATATAGGAACAACATAAAGCTTATTAATAGTGATCACCCAGTGTCCAAATGTTCTGAAGCAATACTTTTTCATGAATATCAAAGGTCTAAATGATCTTTTCAGGTTCCTCAGTTACCTTCATCTTGTAAGGACTGAGGTAAGCCAAAGTGATACAGGGAGCAGGATGCAAGGTTATTGATTTTGCTGTAATAACTGACTCTTGAAAATATTAAAAGAAACAAAAAAGGGTTAACTTAAAACATTTTACATTTTAAAACATGAAGAAACCTCACTGCATATTTTCTCTGTTATGAGATGCAAATATTTTCTCTCAACTGCATGCTGACTACTGTTATAAGACTCCAGAGCTGGCAAAAATGCTCAGCACACAAAATCATCCAAGCAGGCACATAAAATGAAATGAGGATGCAAATTTTCAAAATAGATCAGTGGACAGCAACTCCCCAGGAGAAACATAATTCTGATGGGTGCTGGTCACAGGAAAATATAATCCTTTCATTTAAATGCCTGAATGGCAGCCTGGCTGCATGTACAAGATGCAAGCGTGTTGGAAAAATTCTGACACTTGAGAGCCTTACAGGTAGATTTGTTCTAATGAAAGCATTTATCTCCTTAAGAACTGTGTCTTTTAAAAAGTTCAGCGCCACACTCAGCAAGGTAACTAAGCTGATCTGTTGTGATTTCAACTTGGTTGGCTGGGTGAGCTTCACTCTAGACTGTTCCATTCTCTACCACTGTCTGTACCAGCATCAAGACAAAGAAAATACTGTCAAGGTATTCAGTATTTTGCAGTGGTGTAAATTCAACAGTTCCCTCATTAGATCTATATGATGTTTAAGGCTTTTTGGCAGGATCTGCTAGTTTTTAAATAGAGTTTAGGGCACTGATATCTTTAGCCACCAAGTTGAATGCCTTGGCATTCGCTTATTCAAGAAACCAACTCTCTTCCTTTTGGACTGCTACTCCTGCAGACTGCTTAGTCCCTCTAACTGCACAAAGGAATTAGCTCACCTCTCTAAAAAATCATGACTTCCTACCTTTTTTGTCCCTTCTTGATAAGACAGAGATCAACTTTAATTTCCTGGATGTGTTGTTAAAGGTTGCCAGCATTGGGGATTTCTAGAGGCTTAAAAGGAATTCACCCTCTGCTCAGATTTAGCAGTGGCTGACATGAATATGCTTCCTAGAGGACTATTTTTATGCTGCTGAGAGGTCACTGTAAGTTTAAATATCAGGATACTTTAAGCTCTCAAATAGGCATTTTTAATTTTGCTTGCATCCAAACAAAACTACATTGCTTTTAGGCCTTCTGAGAACGCTAGATATTGCTAAACACATCGTAAGCTCTGGTTCAAAGACTATCAATTAGCTTGCTTTTTTACTTGAACTATCTGGTTTACTGCAGTAATTGGAAAAGGCCAACAGTAGCCTTGAATTATTATTTGTTAAGTTAAGAGGTTCCAGCCAGAAATAGGTCTCCATCACCCTAGTGGAATGTAGAAATCAGTCAGCCTTTGCTTCAGAGACTTGGGCTAAATTATACCAAAGTGTGAGCACATATTCTAATAAGACATAGGTGTGCACAAAATAACTATCCCAAGGCCTTGCTGTATTGAAACCCGGAACTGAGAAAGGTCTAAAGAACTTGAAAGGAGGAGGAGGGTTACTAAGATGCAAAGGTTAACAAAATGTATATTTAAAAGGTTATGGATGGTTTAGATTATTATTCTTAAAAATTTCTGAACCAGAGATTTTGTTTAATCCAAAGCAGGAAACCTGTTCATTAATAAATATGTCTGTACTATGTTGTACTATATATTCCCTGGTATTCTCAAGTTCAGGTTACTATGTACTTCTATTTAAAAATGCCAATACAGAACCCCATGCTATCTTCTTCTTAAAAGGACAGTATTAGACTTCAAATTAACCTAAGTTCAACTGACTGATCGTAAGGATTTCTGTCAAATGTCTTTTTAAAGACAACATTTACTGCAGCAATCAATTACAAACCCCAGATTTAGACAGTGCCTTCTCCTAAACAAACAGGTGCATACACATCCTCTAGCACAGCAAGACTCAATAAGTTTGTTTACAAAGTAATTCACAATAAATCTCACTGGTAATTTGCTTTTCCTTCCAAGTGCAGCACCAGAAAAACACATTAAATTCTGAGGAGATACACGCCTGTGCCCTGAGAATGTACCCATGGAAAAGAGGAAGGAATATACCAGAATTCTAAATTTTGAAAGGCAAATTCTTGCAATTTGCAAGAGAACAAATAAGGTTTGTATGTTACTTTTGAACAGGGACCTGTTAGACTTTAGTGGGACTGGATCTGTGTTAACTCTGCTGTTGGGACTACAAGGTTTACTACATAACTTTGTTGACGCAGGAGTCAGACAATGCAGAAACGATCAATGTGATCAAGCGATTGCCAAATTTATTACAAAGCCTTAACTCCTTATATACTATTTCTTACATGCACTTACAGTGATTTGGCATATTATGATTGGATACATGTCTTGAAGACCCTTAGTGACTAACATATAATTGGTTAAGCACAGGTGTGAGAACTTGACCTCGAAAGCTTGCCAGCAGTCCACAGTTCTCATTAACTCAGTGAATTCCAGCTTCTTCTTATCTTGCTTGCTTAAGCTTCTTCAGGCCTCTCATGGCCTTGCTGCATCTTTCAGGATTATTCAGAGTTTATGTACCAATTATGCATTCTCCCGTGAGAACACTGTCTCCACAGAGCTTAAACTGGGAATAAAGAAATCCTTTGCTGGTACAAAATCCTGTTCTAACATATTGAGAGTAATGCTGTGTAGAAGACCAGCATTTCTCATTCTAATTTTCAGATTATAAACTACTCAATACAAGTTATAACATTTAAATGCAACCAGTTATCATTAATTTTTTACATCTCAATTAAACACCAATACTGGAAAAGATTTATACTCTGTATTAGGAAATGAAGAGAAATTGAACTGCACCCCTGAAAAAATGTAAATTGCAAGTGAAATTTACATATTGCCTCATACCTTCCAGAATAGCCTGATTTAGTTTCTATGGCTGTATCTGTGGGTCAGCTAGAAGCAGAAAAACAGAAGAAAATGTTCTTCTGAGAAAGTGTGTATAAAAGAAGTTTGCGCAGACACCCCAAAATTTGGGGATTATAGACATTAAGGTGCATTTTGTCACTGGAAAGTGAAGGATTGTTCTTTTCTCTTTTCTCTCATCTTTGCTCCCTATCCTGATTCCCTACAATACACCTACAACATCGCTACTTTAAAAGACTTTACCCTGACTGGGTTAGAAACAGAATGGGTTTAAAGGTTTTCAAGTGTCCTATGTCCTAGGTATGAAATTGGTGGTGAATCACTTGGTGCGAATGATTTTATTTGGAAGGACATTGCTCTAGCTTTCTAATTCTTCACATGCTCTTTGTAAAAATGTTTATGCGGAAGATGATGGCCTTTCCATGCTATGCAGTTACAATTGCTTCAACAGATCACTGCACAAGAGAAGTGAACTCCTGCCTAATGAAAGCTGGCCTACTTGGAATTCTTCCAATGCCCTTTTGTTAAATGTAAAGTTCATAATATTAATCAGGCAACTGCTTATACTGAGGATCAAGTGAACATTTTCTGAAATTACAGCTGAGTTTTGTCAAAATGTTAGCTTTCCTTACCAAGTGCATTCAGAATGTCTGCTTGCTGTCTTCCACTCTGACATCTAAATAACAAAGCCTATTCAGTAGGCAGCTCTGTGGGGTTGTACAGTGCCTGCAGCCCCAGCTGAAGGAATATCAGTATAGGAAAGAAACCACAAGGGCTCAGCCAAATTTAAATTCAACACACCACAGAAAACATTCTAAGGGAAGGGCAAGCTGTGCCAGTAAAAGTGAGAAGCATACTGTAAATTTTGGTGGCAAAGGAAAAACTTCCATTCAAGCCTCCCTGGGATGTTGGCACAGTTTTTGCTGTCATGCTCTGCAGGGGGAAATGACTGGTTGGTCTGTTTGCAGCAGATTCACCAGCCTCCCTTTCTGAATTCTTGAAACAAAGATTCCTCCACTCTCTGGTGAAAACTGTAATCTGTAGGATACAGAGGGCAGGCTGCTACCTATTGAGCAGCCCAACTCTATATGACCAAAATTCTACAGAAATATACTCCTTCTGATGGTATCTTCCTATCAAGATAGGATGACCTGAAGAGGATTTTCCAAGAAACCCTTTCCCTTTGTAGCCTTCCATCTTTGCAATCTTCAAACGAGCAGAAGAAAAGAATTGCCAAAGCAAACACTGCCCCAGAAGTATAAAGATGCATATCTTCTCAGTAAAACTGAGATTCAGAAGAGTAGGAAGCAGAATTGAGATGCAGAGTTCATCCAAATCTACTTTGCTTTTTTTTCTCCTCAAAACATTATCCTCTCAGCATACAAGAGACCTCAGCCAAGTACTTTGATTCTCACACCGTTTTTGGTTCAGCCTCAGTTGCTTTTATTCTTCACAATTATTTTTATTTCTTCTTTCTTCTATTCCCTATGTTCTGCAGGCAAAGCTGCCATTTCCTGTCTTTTCCTAGTGAATGATCTTAATCTTAAATCCATACCTACAGAATTAAAATTAAAACATCCAAAGTGTAGGAAATTCTCTGTCTGACTTCTGACAGGCAATCTGACCAGCCTGTCACTTTTACACTGTATGCTGAGAGTGTGAAAACTTTTCTCTTCAGAGCAGGGACTGTCTTGTGCTTGTTAAAGAACTAAGCGCAGCTCCTAGCTGAGTCTAAAGAATCCTCTCTAAAGGATTCCTCTTGCTAAAGAAAATATATGGGAAAAATATGTCCCTCTCAGTGCAAAATAGTCAATGTGAAGTTCAGTACATCAGAGTATACCAATAAACTATCTAAACGTATTTGCCAAATAAGATACTTGTCTGTTGTAAGCCATCCAAAAAAATCCTCATGGCTAGGATCCCTGTAAGTATAAACATTCTGATGAAGTAAAACAATTTAGAGTTACAATTAAAAAAACTGGAGTAAGCAAAAAGATACATAGGAAACATAATACTAATCCTTTCCCAAAAGATTGTGCTATCCAAGGGGATCTAGAATATTAATTAGTAAGTTGTTGCAAACCTATAAAAAAATCACCCCATAATTACTCTGAAAAAAGTTGCAATTTCAAAGCTACACTGCAGAATAGCATACTGGATTAATTATGCCAGACTGCAGCAATAACCTTGAATTAAAGCTGCAACCTTCTATTTTTAAGAAACAATTGCCTTTCTGGTTGATGAAACCTGTCGTCCCATCAGGTAACAGACGTGACCAGGAAAGAGAAAAGCAATAATGAGTCAATCCAAGCTGTTTGATACATTTCAAATCTTCCTCCCACAGAGTGTAGCTGCCACAAGCTACATCACCAGTCTGGTTCTTGAAAACTCGATCTCCTCCCTGATGGGTGAATGTGTCCCAGACATTAGGGCCCTTTCCATCTGCATTCCAGCCTTCTGCTTGAAAAACTAAACTTGGTCGTCACACTTTTGACATCAAAAGACATATGTTGAATGTAAACATTTATCACAAAGTAGGCACAAACCCCTCTAAATCCTGTGAGTAAAATGAGCAGTATTCCCTCCCCACTCCTTATGTCATTTAAAGTAACTAGGAGCTTTCAGTTATTAGTATTTGTGTTAGGGTTTGCATTTATTCATATTTTCACTTGCTGCTAATTATTTGAAAATCCTGTTTTAAAAAGTATTCACAGTTCTGACACTCTTCATACTTCCTTGGCCAAAAATCAGATGTTTGCAACTCTTGAGATATTGCAGGTTTTCACAAAGGGCATTTTCTAATGCAGCTTCCATCCATAAATGTAAAAGATCAGTCCATATCAAAGAAAGCCTTTAGGGTATGAAAAATACATCCAACAAATAGGTACTTACGGCTTTCTGGATGTCCTTTGAAAATCCTGACAGTCTGTTAAAAAGAAAGGAATGCCATTATGAGCCATGGCCCTAGGCACATACAAGCTGAATTAATAACGCAGCTCTGCAAAACTTTTGTAATTTACTTGGCCAAACATTCACAGAAATGAATTTTGAACGCTCAAAACCCCTGCATCATTTTCTTCACTTTCAGAGTTTTGGGAAATTTCTTTTCAATTCCAAAATTGAGATAGACAGATTACTTTAAAAACATTCAAGATAGAGCTGTTGTTTGAGATTACACAGTATTAACATTATGTAGTATTTAAACCAAATAAATGCACCTTTTTTCAGGACAAGCTTCTTTGTCTTTCAGGAGCAATGCTGTAGCTGAGGCAAAGATTTCATTTTTAACATGGAGAGCTCTGTAAACTTACACCCCTGCAAAATGTGGTTGTATAATAAAATTACAAATAACCCCGAAATGGCCAACCTCATTTACATGCAAGATTTTTCAGAGCCCCAGTGAATGCACAGTTCCAGGGTTACTCTTTAAAAACTAAAATGACATTGTGTGTTAAAATCATGTATAAATTAAATATTAGTTGGGTTGTAAGATTAATAACTATATAATAGCTACATATCAATCCTCAATAAAAGTGTTTTAATAATCAATTAGTATCATAGAAATTAGAGATGGAGGAGAACTATTAGGAGGTCATTGAGTCCATCCCTTGCCAACGCAAGATTGCTCCCTTAAGTATATTCAGTACTTAATACACATCTGTCTTATTAAATCTAAGTTTAATGCAAGGTTAAGCATATTGAAGACACTTAATTTAAAGCATTACTAAAATCTGTAATATCACTTCTATAACCTAGCTTTTACAAGATCATTGTCACATTTCACGCTCTTTACAGGATTTTATTGCTGCATATGAACACTGCTACATCTACATTTGATTGGTCAGTAAATGAAACTCTTATATGGGACAACCTTCAAAGCAGGTCAAATCTTAGATCCAGACAGTTTGAGTTTCTCTTAATCTCAGATTTTATCACAGACTTTGTGCTCTGTCTGTATGATTTTCAGAAAAACACAGTACTAAAAGTTTTCTACATCCTGCTTTTGATTTTGATTACGCTGGCTGAAATAAACAGTCATTTTAGAGGAGTGCAGGAAATAACAAATAACAGTAATTCTCTGGTGGTACCTAGAACTTAGAAGCCTTTAAGAGCAGTCTTCCTGCACTGTATCAATACGATATAGCTCTTTTTTCACTACAGTGGGAGCAAAGGGAAGCCAAAAGCTGCCATAATGGGCAGCTAACACACCTTCAGTTAAGAATCAGCAGCTAGAGCAGGTGCTGAACAGTTTTGGTTTTTGTCTGCCTTCCTCCAGCAAAGGAGGTGGGAGGGAGGAGGAGAAGCATTTGATTTTCAGCAGAGTATGACAGTGCTACTCCAGTGGCCATTAGCCACTAAAAAGCCCTGACTGGGGCTGTAGCAACAAACCCACATTCAAGCACTCCTCATGCTCTTTGAAAAGCCTCTCTGTACAGCCTAGAGTACTTGAGCTAGCTAAATAAAGTGTAGGAAGCAATCTAGCCAAGGCAACAGAAAGCTTCACATACACTAACATATCCTGCTGAGCCACAATTAGTCTGCACAGAGCTCTGCTCTGCTTCAATGAACCAAGCTTGCACCTCTAAGCTTGCTCGGAAACCTCCACACTACACAGCACTGCATAGTGCAGACATACCCTGAGTTTTAGTGACCTTTGGGGACAGGAAAGAACAGTGATGCAGAACTGATTTTACATTGCAAGCACATAGGTAAGGCTTAGCTACCAACTTATCACGTAACATGTCACCAAGTGATTAATATGAGTTATCATGAAACATGATGCACGTACCCTGTTCTCTTCATTATGCAATGCATTCTATTATTACAATGGAATAAGATAGAATGTTTTTCCATTTAAGTGAAGCTCATGAAACAGGAATATTACTGATCAGAGTATTTGAGTTTTCATGTACTTTTCCAAGTTAGCTTTTCTTCTAATTCAGATGTGCTTTCACCTTTTGGAATGAAATTTTCCTGGCCTAATCTCTGCCCAAAAGGTGGCATTTTGTTTGAATTAATACAGTTCAACTATTTGGCATATGAAAGAAGTGAAGAAAACCACTTTTACCATTACGAGATCTTTTGCAACTTTTCCTTCTCTCTCTAAAAAAAATAAAAAATTAAAAAAAAAAAAATCAAGCCGAGTTGAAATTTAGCATAGAAATGGCCCTCAGTAAGAAGAAGTGCTTTTGAGTGTTCTGGTGCAAATTGATTTTGATTTGACTGAGTCATGAACCTTTGAAATCTGCACTTTGAGCATGCAGAGTACAATTGGTATGATTTTTTAGCACTTTGAAATATACAGAGTGGAGAAGGTTGTGCTGTGCATAAATACATAGCTGACAGTAAAAAATAAAGTACTTTGTCAGCTCTTGCCTCATCCACTGTGTATCTTGTGATATGTGCAGCAACTGAGTTTGGAATCTACAAGAACTATTGCTTCAATCATACTGCCTTTAGGTTGGAAGCTGCACAGCCCCAAAGCTTTCAGGAGGAATTCCCTGTTGTGTTTCTTACTTCTGCAGGAAAAGGGTCATCTGAGTAGTGTCTAGACCACATTATAGATTTTTTTTCATGTTTCTCCCACTCAGAAGCCTTAGGAAAGCTCATTAAAAATACATTAAGAGCACATTAAGGTTGCACATGTAGCCACTCAAAAGGCAGGAAATTATAATGTCATTCTATATGCACACACAATTCTCATTTTAAAAATTAGTTAGTAGAGCTATGCACATTGCAGGACTCGAGTTAGAATCTGGCCCAGAATATTGATTCCCTAGGAACAGTGAGCTGTTCAGTCTATTAGGTAAAGCTAACTGAGCTCGTTAAAAGGTACCGAGCATGGGCAAGTACTCTCACTTTCAGCAATAACCAAGAACTAAAGGCTACATCCTCATAGACAATTTTAGATCTACAAATCCCATTTAGATACCGAAATCAATGGGAGTTAAGTGCCTGCATGCTGCAGGGTATAATATGAGAAAATCAGATCTATATGTATTTTAAAGGTCTCTAAACACACATTTATGAAGGGAGAAACTTTGGGGGTGGTTATGGCTGTAGGTGGCCCTGTACCTTGTGGGTTTACATTCCCTAATCTGCCACATATTTTTGTATCATTCTGGACAAATCACTTTATGAGCACCTCCATTCAGTTGGGAACATGATACATGTCCCTGGGGGAAAGCCTCCATAAGTCCAACTGTTAACCTCTTAGTTCACTGTTTTTCATGTTCTTTGGAGTTGAATTTCTAACTGAGGAACCCTTATGATTGTCAATGTCTGATGAGATGGTTCTCCCATCCAGTTTTGGAATAGCCAATAGTAATCTACTTAAATTAGCTCTAGAGAAAGGAAATCCTCAAGACCTAATTGGAAAATAACTCGTATCTGCTTTTTTTTTTGCCCCTATTCGCAATAACTAGTGAAAGGTTTCTCCTCCATTTCTATTACCTAACCATATTTCTGAGATTTGAAACATCTTTTACCCTCTTCGTACTACTCAGGCCAGAAGTGTTTTAAACAGAAGTGCCACATGGATTTACATCAGATGTAGCATCTACATAACACAGCAAACACTTTCCTTTCTGAATCCAGACTTTTCGTTCACTTAAAACTCCCCTAACACTTTGGCAGCTAAAAATTTACACGTTCAATTTGATATGCTACTGTAGCTGCACCCCAAGCAAATCCAACTGGAAAAGCAATATCCTCTGGCACCACCTCCAGAGGACAGGCGAATACACAGCATTATGCAATGCTATGAAGATGTGGGCTTCATTTGCAGACAAGTTTCTGGCTTGATAGCTCTTCCACTTGTTACAAGCAGATTCTATACTGAAGACAAAAATAAATCCTGTGCAGCTTCACACACTGAAGGGCAAGACATGCACTTTGCCTATCTCAGGATTAAAGCAGAGTGGTTCAGTCAGCTAACAGTGAAAGTGGAAAAGGCAGCAGTGGAAAAGCCTAGGGTGGTCACAGTAAAGGGTCGCCACCTAGTACAAAGCATTAGCAGACAGAACAGATCCCTGTTCCCCTTCACTTCCCACTCACCTCTCACCTCCGAGCCAAGGGACTCTTTGGATGCTCTACTCAACATAAATCCTTAGTCACCAGGCAAAAAGTCATTTCCACCCCTTTTAGTAAGCTTCAAAACTCAGCACCATCTCTTCTTTTCTGGCATCAGACAGCTATTTTTTTCTCTCCCAACACCAAAACAACTTGCCTGAAGTATGTGAGAAAGCTTGTTTTGGACAGACATTACATGTTTAGCAGTTGAAACCAATGAGGGGAAGTGGGAGATTTGTAGGAGCATACAGACAGAACAGCTATCTTTCTTCTTTAAAATGCCGCAGATGTTCATATTTTCTAAGGCAGCAATGACAACCTTACAGCACGTGTGCCAGAATCAGCATCGGCAGACCAGCCTTCAGGTCTCTTCCTCTACCTTCTGTCAATGCTGTTACCACCCTCCTGTCAGCAGGCTGGGAAGGGAGCAGCAGCAGAAGCACGAGTCAAGGCACAGTTGTAGCAAGTGGGGTGGGCTGCGAGGAGTCTACTGTCCCTTCCCCAAAACCTACAATACCTGGCACACTAGGTGGCACTACTGCAATTTTTTTGTGGACTTAAAGGAGGTTTTTTTCCCATTTATTATAACACTATAATCACACTGCTTTTGCAAAGGTCAGTACCTGCACCTATTGGACTGCTGGGCAATAATGAATGACCACTACTAATTTTTAATTCTTCTTTGCTCCTCTAGCACCTTTTTGATTTCACAGTATTTCTGGGTGAGGACCGACCCCTGCAAACCATTATACGCATAAGTCATATTTTCTTTGATAACAAAAATAAGACGTACCTTAACATACCCAGAAAAGCCACTAGCACAGCTAATGCACATACTTTTGCCAGAACTGCACACAATGAAAGACTCAGCTTCTTAGGGGAAAAAATCCCCACACGTAATCCTTTGTAGAGATGCAGAGAAGCTGATTTAATTCCACGGTGCACATTGCAGAACCAGACAGTGCAGATGCAATGCAAAATAAATCAGGCTTTCACAGCAGGCATGCATTTCCTCAAGTGTCTTTCAAAGGAAAGGTAAAAGCCCCGTGAATACAAAGGACCAAAGAGAGAAATATGGAACAACATATCAACTTGTTCCCAAAACACATGCTGACATATGTTCTAGGCAAACATACACATCCCTTACGTGTTTTATACAGATGACCAAAAATTGATGCCACGAACTAGTTAATGGTTTCTGATCTCCTCAGGCTTTCATTTGCAAGAAGGTAAGCTTTGGTCAGTTAACAGTAAAACTCATCAGGGCCACCTGTAATCATGATTAATAGGTATTAATGAACCAGAGTAATAATGCATATTTTTTACATCATTGAATGTTATTTTGAAGGTAGGTACCTTCGAAAATGTAAGTGACATTAAATCTTTTCCCAGAAAATAATACAATTCAATTTCACAGGAGATATAATAAGCATGTAACTCAATAATAACGGGTGAGGGGCAGACAGGAGATAGTAGCAATAAAAACCCAATAAAAAGTTTTATAAAATGCTTAACCATAAAAACAAGGCTAAAAAGTATCATTGCTGATTCCCTAGCAGGAATCAACAGAGCCAGAGATGGAGCTTAGGAGACACCGAGTGGGAGGAAAATATTCCATAAGCAGTCTGGGGAAGAGTGAACAAAATTTGCTTCAGAGGTTAAGGCAGATTTGCAGTAATGAGATGCCTGGCTATGCCAGAGAAGTAGGTAGATACTGAAAGATGCAGAGCTTCAAAATTCAGAGAAGATGTATTTATAGCAACTAATCTCAAACTCTTCGGGCAACACGATTTCTGGATTTGTGACCCCACTCCTGGTTGTATTTCCGGACTCACGAACTCACTCCTTGTTGCAAGAGCTGGACTTGGCAATTATATTTCCACTAGACCCAGTGCACATGATGGCACCTGGGATGCACCCACCTTCTTACTCTGGTAATTTTCACTACATCTAACAAATAACCTGAACCCAACCTAAATGTCAGTATTTCACTGTCCCATTGTTTTGTTCAACACATGTAAATACAAAACTGTGAAAGATCTCAGTTCTACCTTGAGGCAATTTTTTTCCAGACTAGGTTTTGGGATTTTACATTTGCACTGGCACAGACTATATGTAACCAAATCAACTCAAGCTGAGTATTCCTAGGAATAAATCAAGCAGTTCTTGGATATCCACATGTATCTGGACAAAAATATTCATCAATAAACCAATGAAGACCAAGAGTAATTGGTACTGATGCTAAGGGCTGGCAACCTAACTTTGTAAAATGCTAGGTATTACCTTAAGGTGAATGATGAAAAGGCTTTGGTGTTGACCCCTTAAGTCAAGTCATGTGGATTAATTATCATCAGAGTAATTATATCTTGTCAAAATTAGTTTTTCCTGACTGATGTTTCCTAATTACATATCATAAATACGTTTAATAGTACTTACTAGGGAATTTAGAAATTAAACTTTGAAAGAGTTATGAAAATTAAAATCTCTTTCCTGGCATTTTTCACTGTGCAGGAACAGAAGGATGTAGCTGCTTTTGAAGCATGACTTTATGTCTCTGAAACAGCCAAAGACAGAAGTTCATATAGTCTGTGAGTTCTCTTTGTAATAGCTATTTATAAATTTAGCTTCCTTCCCTGGCAATATAATGGAACAGCTATTGAGAAAACAAATTTACTAAAACATGTTGAAGTCTGCCAGACAAACTTGATTTTTTAATAGTAATACAATATTAATGAATAAAGAGCAGAAGCTATACTGTCACGTCTGAATTTTAGCAGTATACTGTTTTCTGTGGGATATTTTAGCACTGAGCTTAAGATGTTCTCAATTAAGTTACGAAGACAGTTTCCACCTTACGTTGTGGCTGCAGTAGAGGACTCCTAACTTTGATCCTCTAAACTGAGCATTAATTAGAAGCCTCTGCTGCATTGCTGATTAGCCTTCCATCTCCTATTTCAAATGTGTCAAAATTCTGCTCCCAAATTTAAATCAAACCGGAAATGAACTATCATGTTGACTGAAATGAAGGGTGATAATAAACAATGAAGGGTAATGATAAACAACAACTTTGAAGGGAAGCGTTTAGTGCAGTACACAAAGATTACTATTACTTCTGATCTCATTTAATAGCTTTAATAATGAGCTAGAAGAGGGAGTAAATGGTACATTAATGAAATCTGCAGATCTATTAAACTAGGAGGAGCTGAGCACAGTGCTGAAAATGGAGAAATAATACAAGGGGTCACGGGAAGATTAGAAACATGGGCAGAATATTGCAATGAGATTCAGTTTAGAAAACAGAAGCATATTTGGGTAAAAAAATCAACAGGTGGTAACAGGTAAAAGCCTGGAGAGCTTTCATGCTGGAAGAGATTTAAAATTAAGAACATTGGGAAAACTAGGCAAGAATCTGTAATTGAGCAGGAGAGAAAAAGAGTGAAATTTCGGCAAAACTATTAAAGAATAATCAAAGAAGTAATGACTCATCTTAAGCATCTTTACAACCATCAGCTTTTCTACGTTTAGTCTGGGCACTGCAAAAACAGGCTCTAAGTCAGATGGTTAGAAATTCTGCAGCTATGGAATTTTTTCCTGGCAGAAAACTTAAAAGTAACCCATCCATTTAACAGAGAGTTGTCCTTCATGAGGTGAATAGCAGAACAGTGAGCCACTGGCTAAAAGACCATAAAAGAGCATGAGACTGAAGAAATAAAATATTCTCCTACTGCTTCTGGTAATCGCATCATTCAGCTTGAATTTTTTGATATTGCTGAGGAAACTGCTGATGTAATGCCAGCTGCTATGAGCTTGCCAATACCAGATATATGTGCACAATATCTTGGAGAGCTAAAGCTAGTTGTGAGCAAGTTAATTCCATTTGAAGAGCTCACACAAATTAATCTTGCTGAGAGTAACTCTACACAAGCTACAGTGGAGTGACAAATTAGTGTTACATCACTCCCTCTACCAGACAGTTTTGGCCATTCTGCATGGCACAGAATTAGGATGTATAGTATGTATGTAAAGTGATATTCCAAGTTGGTCATCAGTCTTCAAAAGTCCTTGGTAGCTCTTGACTGCTGAAGGCATCGTCCTTTATTGCTGAGTGCCTCCATACAGTTTTTTAAGTGGGCTTGGCCGCTCAGGAGTTTGTCACTGTCACTATGTTGTGACCCAACACTAAGTGTTCAGATAGAAAGGCACTGATCCACAGCTTTAAATTTGCACACTTCAGTAGAAAACCTGGCAAAAGCCCTTTCATGTAAAACCATGCTCTATTCATTTATACCTCAGCATGTCCTGCCATTTCTTGTGTCTGGATTGTTCATCTTCTAGGTGAACACGCTTAAAGGCAATGAGCCATCATGCAAAAATGTCAAGATAAAGAAAAAAAAAAGAGAATATATATGAAAACCAATGTAAAAATCATCAGAAGCAGAGACAGATCCCTTGGTTTCTCGCGAATGTGACTTGTTTGCTGAGACAGCAGCCCTTCACTGATGTTTCAGGGAGACCTGCCTACATTTTACAGAAATTGAGAGTTTCAAGCCGTTTGTAAAGCTACCTACAGGCAAACTTGCTTGATATGATTTTTTCAGGAAAACATCTGCTGCACTTAATCAGATTGGCTGCAACTAGTTAGAATGACACAT